ACATCACACTCTGAGTGGGACTTAACATGGTTATGGGTTTCTTTGAATGCTTCCCCCCCCCCCACCATATGTGCTTAAAATCTCCAAAAAGGAAACAGCTTAATCCAGGAATGTGAAAAAGAATGGTGACATTCGTGGTGTGTCAGTGAAATGAGAAACTTATCAGGCACCATCTATTTTGGGGGTTTTGTGGTATTTTATGGTTCCAGACTTCTAGTCAGTGACAAAATGGCACTGCCAAGATGACTTGCCATGTGCGTGGGGTAGAGAAGAGCATCATGGTAGGTGCTGCTTCTAAGATTTACTTTTGGCTTTGCCCTGGACTGAGCTGACACACATACAGAATATAGTCCCTTCCTCCCAAGGCCTACCTAAGATAGCATCTATTCTACTTGGCTTCCCCGTGTTCTTCCCAGTAGAAAATGAAACCCTGTCTACTAGGCTTTCCTGTGGCATAGTGTTGTCACTTCTGTGATAGCACTCATCCCAGGCTGTCTCTTTTTGTAGCTCTTGCATTTCTCTCTTTCTCTTCTGACTAATCCAACGCTCCTGAGGGCACAGGCCACGTTTTGTTCATCTTTGCATAACCCAGAGAGACCTAACACAAAAAGTTCCCTTAGAGGTGCTTAACACAGGTTGTTGAATTAAAATAAAATTGTTTTATGGGAACAATTTATGGCGATGACTTTAACAAAAGATACCTCAATAATATGCAGAAACGATATATTATAGATTAACAATATTATCCCTATGTCCCTATACTAAATGCTGAAATAAATCTGATGGTACTAAGAAAAACAAACTTTACACCATGAATGCCAGTGTGTGGTTCTGGTTAAACTGCATGGTCTCTAAACCCTGGAAGCCACATGTTTGAAATGAGGAAGAATGTAGCTTTTAGTCTTGGGGCTGGAGCAGAAGGGTGAAAGTCTTCTAGAATATTCGTGGCTAGTGTGGTTAGCTCAGCATAGGTATGTCAATAAATCGTTGCCATAGCTCTGTGATAATTTGAGATCTATGTGTGTCAATGTGTGGGGGTGCAAAAACCTTTTTCTAAGGCAATATTTATTTAAAACTATAATATTTATTTTCTAACTATAAAGAGAAATGACGAATGTCATAAAACACCTAGATATTATGGTAAATGTGTTTGGAGAAGGTAGAACTATTTTGTTTTCTAAATATTTAAACATAGCTGATACTCTGGCATATGGGGCTGGTGCTCTAGTCCTATGAGCCACAGGCACTGCCCATAGCTGATGCATTTTGATGGGAATAGTAACAGTAAAAAGAAGGACTCTCAAGTAACATAGTGGAAAATTCTTTCTAAATTAGACAGGAGAGTTGGAAGCTAAAAGATGATATAATCAAAGTAACATTTGAGGAAGATGCATCTGGCAACAGTATCAGGACTAACTGCGAGAATGGTTGATCCTGGAATCAGGGAACCAAGGAAGAGGCTGTAGTAACTGTCCGGATGTGAGGTGGTGCACAGCAATAACGTGCTGTACAAACGTAGAGGACGGAGTGAATAGAAAAGATTTTGCAAGGGAAGAAGCTCTGTGTCTCTGTGAATATGACTGATAATTCTAAACTACTGAGTCGAATGACTCGAGAGACTTAACACCAGAGAAAGGGAAGTTGAGAGGGGCAGCTGGACCATTGGGAACCATGAGGGTTTTGTTTTTGAACGTTTTGAGCCCATACAGTAACACACCCAGGTGGAAATTCTCTGGCTCCAACCCTGTTACATTAGGATACTGTTGTTCTCTGAAGGATGCACTGGGGATATCAGATCTAGAGATGGCAAAGAGAAATTTAAGACATGTGAAGAACAAGCAAAGTTTGAAAACATGTAGGTCATAGCTCAGCCAAAGCTAAGACGTGCTATGTGTTCTGGCTGGATATTTGATCTTCTATCATCTTGGCTCTAAGCCACCTAGATGCCCTCACACACTGTCTTGTATTCAGCTTCGATTTTTGCTTTCATTCTTTTGCAGGTATCTAGCTGACAATCGGTTATTAGAATGTTAACTTTATGATTTTAAAATGGAGGGAAAAATATTTATTTTACTATGACCTCAAATATTGAAGCCTCCAAATATATTAGGTAGGCACAAAATCAAAGAGATATATTCTAACTGCAATGCCAACATCTCTAGCAAAGTTGAACTCATCCTTTAAGAACTAACTCAAAAGTTACTGTCTCTACATAACCTGCCTGACTCCCCAAGGCAGTTATTCTCTTCCTGGTTCATGTTCCCATGACATTTTCTTATTTCTACTACAGCACTTGCCCCTTGTTCTGTCTTCATGTCTCTTGCCACTAAATTAGAATCATCTTAAAGATGGGAACCATTTATCCATCTTTGGATTTCTCACTCCCCTAACAGATGGGGGCTTGGTAGGTAACAGTTCATTGCTGGAAATATCTGCAAAGGAAAAGTTTAAAACATGGATGCAACAATGTACAGTTGCTGTAGTAGAGCCGGTGCACACATCATATGTCACATCCCTGCTGGCGCCGTTAATGCTGTACCAGCAGAGGCAGTGCTCTCATTACATACTGCTGGCCCGTATTTGTAATGTGTGACATTTTTTATGAAATGCTGTCAAGGGCAATCCATCATAGAGTAACCTTTGGATTATATGCTGAGATTGGTCTTAAACATAGACATAAATGAACTTCAGGGATAATGCTATTTTCTAAGAAGAGTATGATCAAAGAGTTCTGGCTAGGAAAATGAGACAGAACAGTGTGTTCTTTTAACTTAAACAGAAGTGCCTCAAAAAGAGATTTTCTTCTGTCTAGTTCCAATTGGAGATGGGATTATTGCATGGAGATGATGAGTCTGAAATGCAGCTGAATATTTATTTCTTGTAGTACATCAGGTGAGGACTTGAAGAGGACATGCGCACTCGCTAAAGGCTTGACATCCCCTGGGACTTGCAAGGTTTGTAACAACTTTATCTCCAGAGGTGTGTATATATATTTTTAAATGAAAGGATATGTGCAACTTGAGTGAATTTCAAATGTTAGCTGTGGACTCACAGTTAAAGGCATTCTCTCTGTGTATCCATAAAGATCTAGATTTCACACGTATTATGGAGTACAAATAAAAGAAAGCTTCTAAGTCTCGTCATTTTTGTGTAAATCCAGATAAGACTCCTTTGATGAGCTTAGTGTTTCCTGCTAAGGAAGAGCTTATAGGTGAGAGATATACTAAAATTATAATTCTTTGTCTTCCTTAATTAGACTGGAACTCACTGTAGATCTCGCCAAAGCTGTGAGAAAATCCAGGCAGTAATTCACATGGTCAGGTCAGCAGAAATGGCCATGGGAGTCTGATACGATTTGCTTAAATGAGGCTCAGAATAGGTACCCAATCTTCATCAGAAAGATACCCTCTGAAGATGCTTAGTACAAACAGCAATGAAAATAAATCCCAGCAAGATTCGTAAACCACCTGTACAGATGTCATTCCAGAGGAAGTATATGAATCATATTAATATCAATTGATGTGGGACACTAATTAATAAGTCCCATTAAATCACCGAGTAATGACATTTAGCATCTAATGAATGCTTCATAATCTCCTGATCATTAATATTTCAGAGCATAAGAACACAAGAATTTCCATCCCTGGGGTCATGCCGCATGGTTTTCTGTCTGGAGCAAGTCCACAGGGTGTTAAGTGGCAGAGGGTATTGCACCTCTGTACTGACTATACCACATAAGCAATTAACTCTTAGCACGCTGAGTCCTAACATCTCATTTTAGGGAATGAGGATCTGCCCACCATTCTTGGAAGTAACACCCGCCACTGCTGACTGCCCTTGGAAGAACCAGGCTCAGACGTTGACTTGGGTGTGTAGCTTTGCTTTGTTGTTGACCCTGCCAGCCCAGGAGAGAAACTTGCACAGGAGAAAATCATTACTTTGATTTATTGCTGGGGTTTTTCTTTATTCAAAGGCAATAATCATCTCACAGAGCAGGTGCCACTGCAAGGGTTTATTGATCCCAGGCTCTTCTGGAAATTCCAGGAGGCCGTCACTCTGGGGGAAATGGAGGTAGTCAATGAAAAAAGAAGTCATGTCCGAGCAGGCTGAGATGAGGGGGCGGGGGGATCTCTGGCTACAGCTCTGTCGCTCCAGTGACACCCGGTGCGCTTTCTTTCAGAAGAGGGGCTGGAGCAGAGAGAACGCTTAGAGGCTGCAGTAGGCTAGAGAGAGGGAGTGAGAGCCGCACAGGGGGAGCTGCAGGGGTCCAAGGGGCTGCATCCCTCAGGCCGCAGGACAAAGGGTCTTCAGCTCCAGATGGAGACGTGGAGTTAAACGCTGCTACGCAGCCCGGCCTGGAAGGCATTTGCTCCATCCTAGGTACCAAACGGGACCCTGATCAGAATCAACTTGGACAAGTGACAAGAGTGAGCGTGATGTTGGTGGAGGTCTTTTAAGGTCGTCGGAGGGAAGCGGACCGAAGGGGTGTGCTGACGAGTAGGTGGAGAGAGGCGCCGAGTCCAGAGCAGGGATATAAAGCGCCGGAGCCGGGACGCACAGGGGCCAAACGAGTGAGCAAAGGAGCCAGGGGAAGAGTTGGAGAAAAGTCAGGGCAAAGTAGGGACGGGGTAAGGGGAGAGACGAAGACGAGGGCGGTGAGGAGAGATTAAACAGGGAAGAGGGGTCGCTGGAAAGAAGGGCGGACTGTCGGCTGCCGAGGTAGGGCGAGGGGCGAGGGGAGCGAGCCCGGCGCGGAGC